CACCTTATCATAAACCCCCCTCCTGGTGCCAATTAACACCTCCCTACGTCGGCGGATCTTACGTATGTACATGTGCATAGGTCAGTGACCTTGCATAACGTAGCGTAATGTCCATATGTATAAAACCTGACTGACATGGTCACTCAGGGAGACCAGTCAGAGATGAGGCGAGGAGACAGGCCAAGATCATCGACAGAAGCGGACGGATTGTGCGGCTAGTCGGGGCGTCGGCCAAGGCCATCGCCTCACCAACGACTACGTCGACGATGAAGAATCGATGTCCGACTTCTGAATGTGTGTAAGTGACAGAGCAGGTCTCCACATCGGGAACATTGGCCACTCGGTCCCGATGTGCGTTCTGTCACGTGATTACCATTTTATGTACCATTTCTACCATTGTTCCTCAACCATAATAAACATGGCTGCTGCTGGCTTCAACTGTACCGCTGACTTTTGTCTTCCATCTCTTGTCCACCATCCTGAACTACCATCCGAGAGCACCTCAACGAACGCTCTTTGAAGTTCCATAGGTGATTGTCAATCGAAAGGAAAGTCATACTGACTTCATGTCAGACCTGTTAATATCCGGTATGTGGCTTACATAAAGTTATATGGAAGTGGTATCCCAAAATCTAAGCCAATTAGTTGTCAACATTTGTTGGAAGCCCCTCACACTGTCTCTATATTATGAGATGAGATACATTCTATGTAGTCAATACCTGTTGTTATGGACCCGAAAACCAATGTAGACCAAGGACTTCGTCTTCGATCACTTTTGTTTATTGTGGGTCCATGAAAAATGGTATTGACTGCATATAAAGTCTATAATTGTTTTATGAAATATTATTTTGTATACCAGATGTGCGACCTTTTTTTCAATCAGTGCTCAGATAACAATTTTCCATTTTTTTCGATCTGGTTGAACTGAGGTTATAACAAGGTGTATGGATGAGTGACTAAAGGTATGTAAGCTGTTAAGAAAGGTGGTATAGTTTATCCATTATTTCTATGGTATTGATTCAACACGCCGACCAGAGCAAATCCGACACATTATCTAATCAATTTTACGCAAGAATGAAACAATAACCGCTTGAAGATCGATATGAAACTAGATGCTTCTTGTTACTTTCAGGGAACAACCGCGGCTAATACAGCAACCACATTCGGTTTTGTTTTTTTTAGAAATTTCAGTTAGAATTTTCTTCTACTTAGACACATTTATGGCAGCTGTGGGTGGATCATTTAGGTTAACGCTGGTTTGAACTTCAGTTATGTTCCAGCGTGTGAGAGTGGTGTGGGGAAGAGGTGCGATCTAGGTTTAAAGATTACTGGACCCTTGTAGCAACGTGCATACACACGCCAGCGCGTTTGGGTAGGCGTGCGCGCGTGTGTTTGTGCTTGCACACCTAGTAGCAGTAGTGATGGCGGTAGTACCCAGTTGTAGTGGTGGTAGTAGTAGCAATAGTGGTAGTAGTGGTGGTGGCCGTAGTAGTAGTGGTAGTAGCAGCAGCAGCAGTCGTAACCGTAGTTGTAGTCATCGCCGTCGTAGTACGTAGTAGTAGTAGTAGCAGTAGTAGTGGTCTTAAGCTTCGTGGGAGTGTAAGTATGTGGTCGGGACGCTGATAGTAGCAGTAGCAGTCATAGTAGCAGTCGTAGGTAGTAGTAGTAGTAGTAGTAGTAGTAGTAGTAGTAGTAGTAGTAGTAGTAGTAGTAGTAGTAGCAAAAGTACTCTCCCTGGGAGTGTTAGTATTCGGTCGTGGCGGTGATACTAGCAGCAGCGGTATAATGTGCGACTGTGGTTGGAGTAGATGTGGTTGTATAACAGAAGCGGAAATGTTTTGAGCACCGGTTAGCTGTCGTTGGATTGGAATAGGTCGGAGTGTAATTGTAGGTTTAAGAAATACAGTTCGCTCTACCAAAATGTATAGTGTAGCTTGCGTCCGAGTGCGTTAACGTTATAATAGTTCAGGGCGAAAGTGCTTAATTACACTATACATGGTGGTAGAGCGAACTGTATTTCTTTTCTAAGATACCAGATTCAATACTCTCTAAGGATAATTACGATTAATCTAAGGCAGAAAACAAAAGACGGTGTCGGTGACCTAAATTAAGAATCCTCGCACAGGGCTAAACACATTGATGACGGTTTACGTTCGGATTAAATTTCGTCTCTAAATTATTGTGATTAACGTAAACCATATGGGGCAATATGAACGTCGCATTTCTACTACCAACGTAAGTTTAGATCAGTACATCCAGATGAAGCTGAGTAGTCAAGCGACATTCCACGATTGCATTGTGGGAATGTAAACATCTTAAACGTCGGAAAACATAAACGTAATGTTTCCACCAGTGACGTTAGCTGCGTGAAACGGGATGCAACGGAGTAGTTTACTGTTGGAGGCTGTACGAGGCGATGACAACTGACATGCATCGTGACGTCGCTTACATCGGTGACGTGATGCAAAAATTGTTCGATTACGAGGGGGCAGACTGGAATGGCATTACATTGTGACGTAATGCAAAAAGTGCACATTATCGTCTGATAAAATACTGTCGGCGCCGTTGATCTTTCACCGAAGCATCTTAGACTGACTGACTGACTGAGTTTGGTTTTACGCCGCTTTTAGCAATATTCCAGCAACATCACGGCGGGGAACACCAGAAATGGGCTTCACACATAGTACCCTTGTGGGGATTCGAACCCGGGTCTTCGGCGTGACGAGCCAACGCTTTAACCACTAGGCTACCCCACCGCCCCCGAAGCATCTTAGAAGTAGTTGGATAGCTATTGGAGTAGTGGTATAGCTGTAGCGTAGTGTGAGGGTAGATTCAGTGGTATAGCCATCGTAAGTGTAGCGGTGAAGTCGTAGAGGTTGTGGTAGTAACGTTCTGGTGACAGGTGTTGTCTTGGTAACCATGATGTTGGAGGATGGATTTAGTAAACGGAGTAATATTGATATCATCTGCATCATTCCTATCCCAACTTAATTTATAACTTAAAAAACGGTCTAAATCTAAGAATTCCTACGTTTCAGGTTTGGAAACAAATGACCAGAGCCCTTGATTCCGCAGTAAGAACGTTCACGCTGAAACTGACTAATTTGTACCCTGCAAAAACACATGCATTTTCTATGAATGTCGTGTATCCGTATCGGATTAGGTGTCTGGTTCAGACCGGACGTCAGATTGCGATTGATCCTGGCGGGATACTGGACAGTATGGACAATGTAAGTCTCCGCTGATGATTAAAGAGCCAGACCAGCCGAGCCGGTAATCCCGTTTACCCCTGCACATCAAATATTTTGACAGACACAAAAAAGTCTCGCTTGCGGTAAAAGGGAGAGATGTGTCCTTCTTTAGCACAGTAGAGCGGTTAAATGGACGGAAACCCAATAATCAAAACCGATATTTGACGTAGTGAGCTGGCTCTTTCTTCAGGGTCGCTGCTTGAAGAATTCTCATTTTTTTACTTCTTAAAATAGCTGGGAATCTATCAGGGTCTGAACTATCGTGGTTTCCTGGCTGACATATGTGTTGGCAGCCCCGGCCTTTGGCGATCCGTCACATTTTTCCGACCTTGTCCGAGTATGAGATCGGGAATCATCGGTGAACGGAAACAAAAGCATTGAAAGAGGAGATTCTATTGAAATGAAATTCTATTTGTGGCGATCTTGATGCAGGCATCCTCCAGCAAATTCTGCAGATCAATATCCCTTCCTCGCTCCGACCAGCTTTGCATCCGATCGATCGATTGACTGAGCATGCGCGGGATCGAAGAAGGAGAATGGCGGACGGTCTGTCTCCTGTGATGCCTGTTGGTTGTGAGAGTGACCCCTGACTTGTTTAGGCAATGTCCTATTAACTTGGAAGCTTCATTGGACGCTTGTCAGTCACAGCTCCGTCATTGGCCTCAGGTACTGCTCACTCAACCACGCTCAACAGGACACAGGCATTGGAACAGAAGCAGACGACTCGTGGACGATCTATTCTCTTGCAGGTTTGTTTACTGCCTTATCAACCTACAGATCAAATATCGATATAATATTGATACACCTTTTCTGAAGATTCAATAACCTCCCTTTCACTTTCCAATATCTGTCAATTCCCGTATTACAGAAAAAAAATCAATAAATGTTTTGGGGCAATTATTATGTTGTTTCGGTGTGCATGCTGGTAAATTCAGCAGGAGACACACGCAACGCCGTTATTAACTCCTATTGAACGTCTACTAAATCCTGACTTCCAACCATTCAACTCAGTTGGACTTCCAGGATGTCGATAATGCCGATTTCATTTACAGACAATCACATTTGCCCTGGTGCGACAGAGATCGAGTCTCGCTTGTGCGTGAGGGAAGAATATTTATCCCGCACCAAAAGAAAACACTTTCGCTGGCCAAGCAATTTTCAGTCTTGTTGCTAAGAAAATCTACCAATGCCCCCAGCGCCACCTCAATTATCACAATTGCCTTAAATTAGATTTTGTAACCTAAGTCGAAGAACAAAATCGTCCAATATACTTTCGGTCCTTTCTTACGCTACTCTGGTTCTGAATAGTAAATGTGAAGGGTCGATATTGAAGGAATGCTTCTGTATTTGCAGTATTTACACAGCATCTCGTTCCTGCCACTGCCGCTATTTCCCGCCATTTCCCCCAGCAGACGACGATGAGCAGACGTCATTGTTAACCACATCTCCAACCGCGACGTCGGTGTTAAACTTGCAGACAGCTCTCTTTACTCTCTGCATGGAACCAACTCCTATTCATTGAAAGGGAGCTAACGTGTCCAACTGTCTGCTTCAATATTTCATCATCACTGATTCAGGAATCATTAAACATCTGACAGTATATGAAGACTTATTTTGATCACTTAAAAAGCTCGATTGGAAGAATTAAGATCCAGAGGTAAAACTTGAAGAAACACGGAGCATCATCAGCTATTTGTTGAATTGAGGACCACATGTTGCTCAACCCCTAAAGATTTGCCCACGGCACCACTTGTTTCTCAACCCCTGAAGATCTGCAAACAGCACCACTTGTTTCTCAACCCCTGAAGATCTGCCCACGGCACCACTTGTTTCTCAACCCCTGAAGATCTGCCAACAGCACCACTTGTTTCTCAACCCCTGAAGATCTGCCAACAGCACCACTTGTTTCTCAACCCCTGAAGATCTGCCCACACCACCACTTGTTTCTCAACCCCTGAAGATCTGCCCACACCACCACTTGTTTCTCAACTCCTGAAGATCTGCCAACAGCACCACTTGTTTCTCAACCCCTGAAGATCTGCCCACAGCACCACTTGATGATCAACCCCTGAGCATCTGTCCACTGCACCAACTGTTGCTCCACCACCGTCTCCATGATGATCCGACTGGTAGTAACGGCTGTCTACATCGTCTCTGGCTTCCACGCCTTCTTCGGCTTACTAAGCGTCGTCGTCGGTGTCATCTCCAGCATCAAGGCAGAGGTGTGGCTTGCCCATAGTGTATCGCCCATCTGGAGCGGGGGTTTTGTGAGTAGATTTTTAAATTACTTATGTGCGAAACTTGTAGGTTATTCCCCCGTACATCCATTGTACGTATGCAGCATGAAACCTGCACGAGATATATATGTCGTGTACCCCATGTTTAGCATGAAATTTGAAGTTGCACGGGATGTAGCCCACAGGATATATCTGACTTTTCTTATATATTGTGCGGCAGGAAATTTAATATTGCTCTGGGTGTATCTCTCATATATCCTTTGCACAACATGAAATTTGCACGGAATATGTCTGGCATGTATCCTATATATTTGCGGCAAGAGATTTAATATTTTGCAGATAACTCTCATATATCCTTTACACAGGATGAAAATTGCAATACCTGACGTATATCCTAAATATAGTCCAGCAAACAATGTAACATTGCATTGGCTATATTTCCCCTATCCTTTGTAGAGCATGGACCTTGCATAGGATCCATCCGTTGTGTGTCCTTTGTTTTGTACGTAGGTTGCATCAATACTACTGGCACTAGTGTTGAATATACGTTCAATCCCTGAGGTCAGTTACGAAACATCACCTGTTGCACATATTCAGGCATCAGTGAAAGCGATTTATCAGCGTCAACGAACATGGTCCCCCGTGCTTAGTCTAACAGGCCAAAAATGACAATTTGAAACGTAAGGTTGTGAAAGTGATAGAACAGGTCAGAAACAGGCATTCTTGACAAAACAACACCCCATTCTTCGAAGACCTTCAGTTTCATGACAGGCATTTTATTATTGAGTTGTAGAGAGTTGTAGAGAATTGTCACCTCTTCTGTCTTTGGACTCTGGGTATCCTGGCATGATAAATATTGAAAGCAGCAATCAACTCGGATTTAAGTATATAATAATTATAATGCGGACAACATCGCGTGTGTATTGTCGCGTGCTGTTACCTCTGGGGTCTGAAGGGGATTGGTAGATATACTCACACTGCATCTACGGTCAAGGACAGAGGCTGATGACGAAGGTCTTTGAGGATAAGAAGACCCAATGTACTAAAACAAGACTTAGCATTGCTTATGCAATATTCTGTTGATCAGCTGCACCGCCATTGTCGTAAAAGATATTACTTTAAAACGACTGAGCAGTATTTCACGACATTTTAACAAGTTTGTGCATCATCATGGGAGCGGGTGGAGATACCAGTAATGGCCTTCAAACACTTTAATCCAGACTAACGCTTAGCCTCTGAATACATATAATTTTGATTGTAACAAATAAACCCATTTAAATTGAAAAGGAGCCCCAGGGAGACCAGAGAGGGCTAGGGTGTAGGGAAAATAATGTGGTTCAGGGACTGTGAGACTAAAATTAACCATGTGAGGAGTCGAACCCTTGTCCTCAGTTTGATGATCTTTAACCGCTAGCCTACCTCTATGCTCCGGCTTTTATGTTTCTGCGTAGTACATATCTAGTTTCTGGCATGCTGATTATACACTGTAATGAAACTGGATAGTCTGTCAAATATACAGCTTCAATAAAACAATGTACCTGTGTCACGATATAGCATCTTCTATGTACCCGGTCTAAACCGGTTACATGGTTGCTTTGCGCAGCAAGCATAGTGTTATAAGATATGTGATACATGTATGTGTGCAAACCTGTCCTTAATTACGAATGTAGATAAACAGGGAAATATATCTACACGTCGAAACTTCAACAAGCTGCTCTACAGATGTTAATTTAGACGAGAACAATTGTACTTCATGAACAAACTTCAGGTAGTCCGCGCTTTGTTTTCATTCGATACCAAAGACCAATGAATGTTATGTTTACTGTCCACCAATCGAAGCCTACGAGAAAATGGCCTCCGCTTGCGTTCTCGTTCATGTAGAAAGGCGCCCAGTCGATACTCTGTCTCGTCTACGGATCACGTGACAAAGATTCTGAAGGCTTATACCCGATCCCACTGACGTTCCATTGACAGTTGTAAATGACTCTAGCATCGTCCATGCTTTTGGACTATGCTGCTGACGGAATATTGCCGGAATTTTCTCTTCACCAAGTACAAGCGATATCCATCGCAACAATGGCCGTGTAATACATTTTGTTGTAGTTACCCATGGTTACGGCCAAATTGTGTCTCGAGCTTGTCCACGGCGAATGACAGAATGTTGAAAGTCACAGTTCACGTTGTTTACCTAGGTTTGTTTGTTTGTGTTTTGTTTATAGCCGCACTCAGCAGTATTCCAGCTATTTGGCAGCGGTCTGTAAATAATTGAGTCTGGGCCAGACAATCCAGTAAGCAGCATCATGAGGACCGATCTACGCAATTGGGACACGATGACATGTGTCAACAAAGTCAGCGAGCCTGACCACCCGATACCGTTCGCCTCTTACGACAAGCATGGTTTACTGAAGACCAATTCTAACCCGGATCTTCACGGGTTGTTTATCTAGGACCAGAGTGTTACTTTAGTAAACCCTAGTCGAGTGAAAAATCTCTGACCACATGACGTGTTTCAGATCTCAAGGGTTACATTTCCTGGCGTTAACGGCAGTGAGACCTAGACCTCCCTCGTTACTAGTCCTGATCGGGTATGAACACCACTTATAGCAGTTGATAACAGGCAGCATGTCTGAGTCTCAGTTCAGATTCTATGAAATCACATTTAAAGATTTTAACCCCATTAGTGGGCACGGTATGTCAACCATTAATGTCAACTTGAGATACACAAGTGTGTGCGGCACTGTATACTTGTGATCAATATCTGAAAGTGACTAAAAGTTGGGAAATGAGAATCAGACGACTGGGTGTAGCTCGTCCATCTGATGAAGGAGATACTTGAAGCTTCTCTGTCTCTTTCATTATTTTGATCACCAGGTCGATTCAATCCGTCAGCAACGTGTCAAGCTAACAAGGCGGGGTTGTCACTACGTCGGGACTTGTAAAAGATTGACATTTTTTCTTCAGTGACTTTAACGAAACGAAACATATCAAAGTGAACTTGTTTGTGTGGATGAAATAGAGAGTAGGAGAGGCTGGTTGCAACAGTATTGGGTTTTTTTTATAAGGAAGTTCCCTCCCAGGCAATTGAGAGAGATTGCAACAGTATGGTATGCATATTCCCGAGCGAGTGGAGAGAATCTCCTAATCAATGTTAACCTTCAAAAGGGTATAAAGTATATTCATTGAGAAAGGTTTTATTTCCCAGGGATTTGAAAAAGGCTGATGAAGTATGTTTAATGAGAGCAGGGTTTATTTCATTATATATTATTAAATATTATGTATAAGAACGGGTGGGTATACCCCCTACGCTGCTGGGAGTGACTTGAGCAATTAATGACAGGTGGGTATACTCAGGGAGTGGAGAGACACTACTAGAGTATATTTACAGGCAAGTACGTTTACTCCCTTGGAGTGAGTGAGTGAGTGAGTTATTATTTAACGTCACATCGGCAATATTTCAGCCATATCGTGACGAGAACATTTGACAGTAAGAAATAGAATATATATATAGTTATTATAAAAACCTGCCGACGAAGGACAGTAAAAATACTAGATAATCACAGATATCAATATAAAACTAGCGAACAAAGCTAAAATATTCCAATTAAAGAAGACAATACAATGTAAAAATGGGCTATAGATCGCCAACAACTGAAGGTAGATCACCATACTAAGGCCTACTCCCTTGGAAGTGGAGAGAGACTACTACAGCATATTATGGGCTGATGGGTATACTCTCCAAGAAGCTGAGAGTGGCTGCTGGAGTACTATTATTGATATATATGTATATCCACCAGACAGATGAGACTGCAAAAGAAGGTTTAATTTGCTGGCAGTGAGGTATATTCCCCAAGGAGACGAACGATAGGGGTTTCGTATACTGACAGCAAGGTTTGTTCCCGGGGAGATGAGAGACTGCTAGGGTATGCTTGATGCGTATGTATGATAACATTGAGGTATACTCCCATGGAGACTGGAGACTGCTAGAGTGTGTATACTTGCGAGGAGGTATACTCCCGAGGGAGATAGGAGACTGGGGTTGCGACATGGCTTCGGGGATTCTTTGAATTTGCGCTTTTACTTGTATTTGAAATTCGCATCTCATGTAATCCATCGGTGCTGAACCCGCTCTATAATCCATCGGTGCTGAACCCGCTCTATGATCCATCGGTGCTGAACCCGCCCTATGATCCATCGGTACTGAACCCGCTCTATGATCCATCGGTGTTGAACCCGCTCAATGATCCATCGGTGTTGAACCCGCTCTATGGTCCATCGGTGCTGAACCCGCTCTATGATACCTCGGTGCTGAACCCGCTCTATGATCCATCGGTGTCCAACCCGCTCTATGATCCATCGGTGCTGAACCCGTTCTATGATTCATCGGTGCTTATTTTGTCACGTGATGTGTATATTATTGAAAATAGTATTAATGTAATTGGCTGCCATATAAAGATATATATACATGTTCCGAAAGTGTCTCACATACTATCATTATGTCAATATATATTTCTACGAGAAGACAACATAACTATAATCGAAGTACAATTGATTGAATATTAAGTACGATGTTGCGTGACACGTTGGATCTGGGCTTCGACAAAGACCAGAGATGTCAAGGAAATCCCGTTTGGAACATGCAACTTTCGATCAATTCTACTACAAAGTTATTTTAAATAATAATGACGAGGGCCCCCAAATCAATACTAGATGATTGAGTCCAACTTCAACATGCCCGCAGCCGGAGGACAGAACAACAGAATGCATCCTGCTGTATTTTTAAACTAGACATGCCTCGTGAGTGTCTGGATAAAAACGTTACTCAAAGTAAAAATATGACTTTGAAGTAGATTCTGAATCTATGGTATGTCGGCACCGGTTATCATGGAGCCGGATGTAAGGAAATATCGCCTTAAATGAAGCCATGTTCAGCATCGCAATATACCTTACTTCATACATTAAATAGAGAATCTCACCCTTCTGATATCAATGAGTTGATAAAGTTACAAATATCCGAGGCTTTCCGAGGATAT